CAGCGGATCAGCGGATCAGCGGACAGGGGGATCAGCGGATCAGCGGACCAGCGGATCAGCGGATCAGACAACCCAGCGGCCATAAGTCATTGTTTCCGTAACCTGGGCTCAAGTCGCTGCAACAGACTAGGCAGCCATCACGGGCGTCTTGCTCCGCCGGCCTACCTCCCATCGGGTCATAGCTCTTACAACTGCCCTGAGGGTTTGGACCTCAGTCCTGACCCTCGTGTGTGCAGAAGACAATGTCGGTAGCACGTGCCCTGGCAGTGGAGGTCGGGCCGGGGGGACTGAACTTTACCCCCTTTTCGCGCCTGGTCTGCAGGCAACCAGACTATGAAATACACTTTGTTCAGCTCAACGTTATAATTGCACATACACAGCTTCCATTGTGATTAGCTGTTACCTGCCTTTCTACGTGCCCCATTGGATGATGGCACATGCCCGTCTATAGCCGAGATGGTTGTAGCAGCTGTCCCTGAAGAGATGCGAAAGTCCTCCCTGGTGCTCACCAGCGGGCAAGTCCTTTTCCCGTTTGAAGACTCGCCACATATAACACAGGATGGTATCATTTTACACGGACGGAGTGCCCCACAACGAGCAATGGTCTATCGCATCCTCCATCAAACCGAATGCCTTCCTTCTCCTGGCTGTGCAGTCGGCCTAGGGCAAGCCCGGCCTCCTGAACCGGGGGAAGCCTTTGCTGCTTTCCCTTTCATGCAGCTGCGCACCTTGCCGGCAGTACCTACAACCTCAGACCGCCCTGCACCACCGATCCCGCCATGGCTTATGCCGCAACCTGTTCCTGCCCTCCCCCAATCACAGCCGGCAGGATATTGTGGAGCCAAGGGCCCGCCCCAAGCCAACGCATCACGCTTTTCTGACCAGCTGGGAGTATATGCCCTGCAAGCACTTGCTGAACAGGATGTGACCGCAGGGCATGATGCGCCACATGCACGTCTTAGTCGAGAACTCATCACTCGTGCAAGAAATGTGCGCGCTTTGGCGTGCGACATCCAACGCACTCTACAGAACGTACACAGCAACCGGCAGCATCTCTGTGTTCAGCCTGGGGCCAACGCGTGTTGGACGCTTCCCACCGAGATGGACACGATTATTCTGGGTGCCCTGAAAGACACACAGAGTACCGCAACGTAACGAGCTTTCTCACTGGTGTGTCGACCACACACTAAGGGGACGCAGAGGGATAAGTGCACTGACAACTCGTTCCACTTAGCTGGGCAACTGGCATATTCTTCTACTTGAGTCATTTGATTACTGCACTGGCTATACTAGGATCAGTATTTGTCTTTCCTGTTGGGTTGTTTCGATTTCTCGGATACTGTGTGAGGTGCTGAGCCTGCGGCTGTTCGGGCTCGAAGGTCAGTAGTTGCGCTCAGGTCTCCTCGTAGCAAGTAGTGAACTCTCGTCGGCAGTCTTCGCTCAATGGCCCTCCCCTTCATTCCCGGTCAAAGCGGGACTGCAGACAGGTGGTCACATTGGCCCCATGCCGAGAGAGGAGGCCCCCCCGTACTGGAAGGCAGCCAACTGTGCCCAGCCAAAGAGGTCTCCTCCACAACCGCCATTGCGTCCTCCCAAGCACGCTCCCAAAGTGGACCCAACTCATGAGAAGCTCCTAGCAGTGCTCTCGCAAGCTACGAGCATCCCTGATACTGCTGCGGTATAGGGGCAGCCACTACGAGCAAAGACTTACCCACTCCCAACATCAATGAAGGGAGGATGCTACCAATAACAGAGCCGGGAGAGGGCCAGCCTGACAGCCAGGCTGCTTGCAGCAGAGACCCAACGCAGCAGCATCCCCCTCACGGGCGCGGTCAACGTCACATGAGGGAAGACGGGACAAGTGAACACCTGCCCCCTCAGCGTGCATTCGCGCACCCTAAGAAATGCCCGGTCCAGTGAATCACCGGGGAACCTGTTGTCCTTGTTCCCTTGCTTCGGGAAAGAATCCCTTGAACACGGCTGTGCAGTTTGGTTTTTGCAGACCTTTGGCTCAGAGCTCTAGCCGCGAGTCACCAGCCGACTGGTTTCTGCAGTTTAGGAGCCCAGTTTGCGCTTACGCACGCTGTGGCTGTGGCAAAGAAGACAAGAGGCGCCGGATAGACCAGCCATGCAGCTACAGCAAGAACCCCTGCTTTTGGCAGACGACGGCACTTATGTCGATGTCACCAATTTTGTACGTTTTGAGCTCAACCATGATGACATACGCTATGGAGTTTTGGACCTCATTGTACAATTTTCCTACAATTGCTGCATTTCTTTCCGGTGGACACAGTCAAGGAAAACGTCAAGCCCACTTTCCCAGAATGGACGGAGGGGTTTCACTTCCCGCCGGCATTGCTTAAGCTTAGGCAGACTTTGACGTGTGAGTTTTTGAGGAAGTCTCGTACGAAACGCTCGTTTTGGAGACTTGACGCGCAACCCTCTGCGGAGATCGTGCGTGTCGAGTGCACCAAATGCAGGCGAGAGTGCGATTTGTCCCATGCGCGCGCAACCCTCTGCGGAGATCGTGCGTGTCGAGTGCGCGAAATGCAGGCGAGAGTGCGATTTGTCCCATGCGCGCGCAACCCTCTGCGGAGATCGTGGCGAGAGTGCGATTTGTCCGGCGGAGCTGGAAGCTGAGAACTGGCGACCTTGTAGTGCAACTGTAGTACGTGGAGTATCTGGGGAGCTGGAAGCTGAGAACTGGCGACCTTGTAGTACAACTTTAGTACGCCGAGTATCTGGGGAGCTGGAAGAGAGTCCCACAAGAGTGTCCCGCAACAGTGTCCCACTAGAGTGTCTCAAAAGAGTGTCCCTTAAGAGTGTCCTACAGGAGTATCCCACAAGAGTGTCCTACAAGAGTGTCCCACAAGAGTGTCCCACAAGAGTGTCCTACAAGACTGTCCCACAAGAGTATCCTACAAGAATGTCCCACAAGGAGTTCCACACGAGTGTCCCACAGAGTGTCCCACAAGACTGTCCCACAAGAGTGTCCTACAAGAGTGACCCACAAGAGTGTCCTACAAGAGTGTCCTATAAGAGTGTCCCACAAGAGTGTCCCACAAGAGTGTCCCACAAGAGTGTCCCACAAGAGTTTCCCACAAGAGTGTTCTACACAAGAGTGTGCCACAAGAGTGTCCCGCAACAGTGTCGCTCAAGAGTGTCGCGCAAGAGTGTCCCACAAGAGTGTCCTACAGAGTGTCCCACAAGAGTGTCCCACAAGAGTGTCCCACAAGACTGTCCTACAAGAGTGTCCCACAAGAGTGTCCCACAAGAGTGTCCCACAAGAGTGTCCTACAAGAGTGTCCCACAAGAGTGTCCTACAAGAGTGACCCACAAGAGACCCACAAGAGTGTCCCCCAAGAGTGTCTCACAAGAGTGTCCTACAAGAGTGTCCCACAAGAGTGTCCTACAAGAGTGTCCCACAAGAGT